GTCACATTTTACAACAAAAATAAAAATAGCACACATATAGATTAGAGAAATAAGAAATGACATGAAAAAAGGAAGAGCAAGTTGGGCGTGAAATGCCATGTACCCTCAGTAACAGGAACAATCACGCATTGCCCGTGTTATTAGCCAGCAAAGATAAATTTCACAAGCCATGTCGCTCTAGTTAGTATGAACAACAATCCAATATCCATGAAGTATGAACAATATAGACATAACAACAATCCACCAGTACTTAGAATGCCTATACATGTAAGTTCCTCTAATGATTCTAGTGACACTCAAGTTGATCTACCAAAAACTTCAGTGATTTTGACCATGTCTTACATTAAACAACATATCAATATTGAAATATGTGAATTCATCTCACAATAATCCCTAGACATTGAGATACAATAATCTTTTTAGCGACACTTAAATATTTCATGTCAAATTCATTTTTTAATATGATTTCAGTTTATTTATGTCATGTAAGTAATTAAAAGAAATCAACATATCATGAACATACAATAACAGAAAGAAAAAAAGGAAAAAAACATCATCAAGGCTCCTAACATAAATACAATATCCATGCTCACACCTTTTGTAGAAAATCAAAAGTATGTATGAATAAAAACTTAAGTATCATTGTCTTGGAGACTGCTTTAAATCATACAAAGACCTTTTCAATTTACAAAGCAGTCCGCCATGTCAAGTGTCACCGAACCCCTTTAACTCGTCCATGTAAATTTGTTCATCTAGATTATTATGAAGGAATAGATCATTTAGTATTCATTTATAAACAAATAAAAACATAAATTGCAATAGTAAAGACTCGAAGCGTGCCCTGATATGTTGTTTTTATTTTTATATAAAATTAAACATGACGCGTCTTGGCATAATATCTCGGTATTTTTTGGCTGAGGTGAAAGCTTCGTCATGAAATGTATTATTTGTAGTAGTGATTGGGGGAATATTTGATTCTGCATTAGAAGAGTTTTTGAATTGAATGGATAAGATAAATTGCGCTAGAGGACAAAAGGCGGCACATAATACACCCATTAAGAGTGTGCCATACAGAAAAGGACAAGTGTCTCATGTACCTCTGCTGCAATCTGCCATGCTACATTTTGTCTCCCATCAATATTTGTACCTGATTCTCATCGTGCACGAAGGAGAAGGAAAAGAAGGGAATTTAATGTCTTTTAACCTAGGGCCTGATTTTATTTATTCTCAACCCCATGATCCAAGATATTGATAAAAAATAAAAAAAAACTTATTTCATGCGTCTATAAAAACAATGCGTTAGGATTGAGGAAGGAGTTCAACACTTGTTAGAGAAACACACATAAAATAACACTAGTGAAGGAAAGAGTTGAATAAAAATAAAGTTTTTTCTTCTCACCACTTCATGTGCCTAGAACGGTAACCAATCCACTCAACATCTTCATCAAATGTGTTATAATCGGAAGGTCAATGTGTAGACACTGTCTAAACCAAATTTTTATAAATATATATCAGTCAAGTAGGGAACAATTATGCCACACCATCGATGAAAACTCATATATACATATATAATCAAATAGCTTAACATGAATTTGATTCTCGAACGAGCATCATATGACATCATAACATGTCAACTCATCCAACACACTGCTGAAATGATCAATCTTCATTACCCTTGCTTATATATCCAATTCATAGTTAGAGGAAGTCTGACGTTACTACAAGAAATTTGGCTCTCTTTATACTTTACCTAGAGTTGGAAAAACCTGTGACTCTAGTAATGTTACAACAATATTATTATCAATAATAAGATTTAAAAATAAGTGAGTAAATAAATAGAAATATAAAAGTGACATATTCACTGAACTGCTTACGGAAGTTGATAAACTTCTAAATAGCGGAAGTTATTTTGCCTATAAAAGAGTAAAACTAAATTGGAATGGCATGTATAATTAAATAGGTGCCAGGATTATACCTCAAATATCTATTCAATATTTCCATACAAATTTCAAGAGTCCATCAGACTCACTAAATATGGGCTTTAATGCCACCCCTTATAAATGAGGCTTCTACTCCCTCTTATCACAATTATAAGTTAAAATATTCACTTTACATTAATTAAGAATGTTAGTTAAATATAATTAATTATTTTAATTTCATATAAAATTAAATTAAAAATTATTATAATATCGTTAATTATATTTGAAGAATTAATTATTAATATTAAAAACTTTTGAATTTAATTAAGAGGTATAATAGTAATATAAATATTAATTAATTTAAAAGTTAATAATTTTTGCTAACTAAAATTTAAGATTATTTTTTTATTTGTAATAATGACTAGAAGAAGGATTTCCTACAAATATTATTTAAATGAATTTTTAGTTTTTAATATCACTAAACAAAATAGATGATTAAACATATTTAATTCCTTTTAATTTTATTGATATTTAACTTGGATCCGTCAAAAAAAAATTATATAAAGTATATAAATGATGATATATTTTTTTACGGTGGAAAAAGAATAAGAAAAAACAAAGCTGTAAATTATTAAAAAATAGTCACACTAGTATTAATTACTAGGAGACCGATACGTCATATTATTATTAATTTTATGTTTAGTTAAATAGTTAGCACAAACATTCTTCTTTTTAAGAGTATGAAATATTTGAACTCGTGATTTTCTAAAAAGAAATTCTTTAATATTGTGAAGAATCGCGACATAGCGATGTCAAATATTAACAGACTCTGAAATAGGCTTGATAGTGGAGTTGGAGTCAGTAACACATTCGATATTTGATGTCAAATTCCATTACCATACATAAATCATGATATAACGACATTAACTCAGCATGAAGGATTTGAAATAATCAATTACTCGCAAAACCGTAAATTCAAGTACCATTAACATTTCAAATCAATTCATCGAAATTCGAGACGTTGAGATTACTGAGGCTATTTCCATCAACATTAAAAGTCATATTAGTACCTTTGTGGTGCATCACGTGATCATTCTCGTTGGATGAGACTTATTATGCTTGAGAAAACATTTAACTAAAAGATTAGCATAAGCATAAGTCACTATGATGAGTTTCAAAATATAGAAAGATACCACTTCATTTTTGCAAGACACTTTTTGTTTTTAGCGCACCACAATCACCAGCTAGCATAAAAAAAGATAAAGTCGTCATTGATGTCACGTCTATTCAATCATATAAATTATTCCTTTGGAAGAATAGTGGTTCCACAAAACCAATAGATTTTTAAAAGCGGGTAGCAAATTCGTAGTCTCTCAAGCATGTAGATTCATCTCAGCGTACCACGATGACACAACATTGATTTTCTAGTAAGGGGTTCGTATAAAGCCGTCCAAAGGAAGAATTTTACCTTCTCATGAATGTTATTGATTTAGTAGGAAATGTTACGTTGACTTCCAAAAATTACAATATGTAATATTCTGAACAAATTCAAGTTTGTTGAGCTAGTTATAATCATCTCAAGCAGTATAAAATATAGATAATAATGTCTAAATTGTCTTTCCATGTTAACTGATTAGAAACCAAGAAATTTAAACAAATGGGAAGTGCTTTTAGGCGGTCATAGACAACCGCGTGAATATTAGTATATTATGACTTGAAGTTCCAATTTTCATTCAAGTAAACATCATTCACTCGCATTTCTATATCGTGGATATCCACATAGAGAATCTGCTCCACTAATTTCCCTACCCCAGACCAATTGGAAAACCAGAAAGAGAAGTTCCCATTCTCCAATCTAAATTTAAATTCATCTTTAAGAACTGAGTGAGCTTTCATAATTGCATTCCAAGTAGCTAATCCCGATTTTTTTTTCATATTGAGGAATATTTTCTGATTAATGTAGTTATGCTTCCAAACTTAAACTTTAGGAATCACAATCCAGATGTTGATTCCAAACCAGCTTATCCAACATAGAGGTATTAGCCTCTCTTGTTTTCTAGATCCCAAGTCCACCTGACTTTTTAAACTTAATGATTTTATTCCAGTCAACGAGATGCACACCGAAGTTTAAATTACCTTTCCATAAAAAATTCTTAATTATCATATCAATAAAATCACAAGTTGATTGAGGTGTCTAATTCACTTGTATATAATAATTTGAAGTGGAGTTCAAAACAAACCTAGCTAAAGTCAAACGATCAGTTTTATTTAAAATTTTATATTTTCAAGATGATAACTTTTGATTGATTTTTTCCTCCAAAAATTCAAAATTATTGCATTGAATACTTTCACGCAATATAGAGAAATACAAATATTTCTCTAAAGTAAAAATTCGCTTAATACATATACTAAAGACAATTAAGTTTATTTTACTCCTATTAGTAGTATCGGAGAAAAACACCTTTGATTTTGCTCTTAAATATAATAAATTAAAAATAAAAATTAGTGAGTACTATTGGAGCAAACTTTGATTTTGGTGTGGGTCCTATCTTCTTTCCTATCACTTGTTTGCCTTTTTGTCGTCTGCCTAAAAGAACATCCACACGTGCGCTGCCTTGACTAGCAACATGCTCTCATCTCATCAACAGTCAAAGGACAAACGTTGATTTGGCTGCTTTCGTAACTACTACGTTAGATGAAATTGTTCCCCACGTATTTTTTGTTCTCCACATGTCAATAAATAAATCATTCAATTATAATAAAGTTGAAATTTAATTATTCTTCAATTGAATTATATATCACTTATGTTTTCTTACGAATTTAATTACATCAATTTCGTTGTAAATTGTGGCATAGATTGTGTCAAAAACAATTAAAGAAACCATCGAGAAGCAAAGATTGGACGTGGTCATATATTTTTTCTACGTCCATAAATATGATGTCAATTTTAATTAAGTGAAAAATGAAGTTTCGAGGAAAAGCACACTTAAGCATTTTTTAATTCATTTCAACGATGACTAATGAGTCTATAAAAAGGTACTAAAACTCACGTACAGAAGGAAAAAAAAAACATCAATCAAAATGAAACTATCAGAGTTAGGAGCAGCAGGAACAAAGTGTAAAGAGCACATAAATGACAAACAACTACCTGGTGTTTGTTATTATTGTTTAAGAGATAAACTTTCAAAGGTAAACAACAACAACAGCAACAACAAACAAGTTCATCATGTATCTCAATCTCCACAGCACTTTTTTTCATCCTCATCAAATTACATGTCTCAATCTCAAGGTCATAGCCGCCGTCATCATCGTCGCCAAACGTCTAGTGTGATGGATTCTTTTTCTTCTGATATGGTTAGCTTCAATTATGGATTGAAGAAGAGTAAGTCGATTGCTTTTGTTTCAACAAGCCAAATCAGAGAAAGGGAAGTTTATGGAAATTATAAGAAAAGAAGCTTTTGGTCCAAGCTACTCAAATTCACTAGGAAGGATGTGAAAGAATGCATTCAAGAACAATGAAGGAGAGAAAGGGTTGACTTTTCATTATGAGTTTAACTTAGATCCACTTTTTTTTTAAGTTTTAATAATGTAACTTATACATAATTGAATTGCAATAATTTTACTGTAATTATTCTGGTTATAGAACTTTTACAATACTTTACTCTCTGAAGTGAATTATCCATAGAGAAACTAAATCTGGTTAAACTCTGATTATGTGATTAATTTGGAGCGTATATTAATTCCTGTATAGGAGATTATCATTCTGAGAGATTTCTCAACTACTGTACACGATAGAATGGAAACTGTATTACCAATTCTTGAAAACTTACAACTTCTCGCCCAAACTGTTGCGCCATCTAGAAGAGCCGGAAATATTAGCCTCCGTCGAATTATCTTCGTCGTTGTAAAAGGCTTGATCAATTGAAGGCTGTTTGGAAATTGCAGTACTGATTCTTGCCCAATCGACCGATATCATCTAGAAGAACTGCCATTGTAAGAGGCTTGGTCCATTGAAGGCTGTTTCAGTCTTTGAAATATATCATCAAGGGATTCAGATGAGGAAACACTAGAGATCCTATCTTGCTGTGTTTGACGTATGGGTAGAAAACCTTTGACGCCACCGACGTCGGCCTTGAAACTCGTAAAGCCTTTTTTTAATGTTTGCCATGTCGAAACAAAACCAGAAGTTCCAGATGTATTACCATAATGGGTATTGGCTTTATCGAGCAAGGAAACCTTAGCAGAATCTAAGTTTCTCTCTTCTACATTCAATTTAGATGCTAGTCCACTCTGCTGTCTGACAGCAGCATACTTGCTGCTGATCGCGTCTCTGCTCGAACTATATCTCTTTGTCTCTTCCTTCGAAGTTTTGAACAGACGCCCATTAATATCGGCATTAGTTAAAGTGGAAGTTCCATTCATTTCAACACCATTCTCCTCCTGGACAATAAAAGTAATGACATGAGTGGAAATGTGTGAAAGAGCAGAGTACCATATGTTATATTTTGCAACTGTCAAAGTCACGATAATGAGAAATGATTGCTTCCTTTTTTTGGGGGTGGGTGAGTGGATGGGTCAAACATACCATAATGTTGTTGCTTGGTTCAACAACAATGCTATTAAAATTCCTCGCAAGTGGAACAACTTGCTCGCCTACTTTACGACCTTGTTCAAGCCAATACCGTTCTACAGATTATATGAATTCAAGCATCAGCAATAGTATCACAAATTTAATATCCTACGATACTTAGGCTTCTTAGTTTTGACATGATTAGCCGTTTAACTTGAACTAGAGCTTTAACAAGTAAGAAGTCTTGGCATGCATACCTTTCTGCAAGATAATTAACCCTGACGGATTGAAACCATCCAAATCTTCAGCTTCAGTTTTGAAAATATATCTCTTCCAACTACCCAGAAAATCAAATACCCTGTCAAAAAAGTTGCTTGCAACCAAAAGGGTGTATATAACCATTATAAGTGGAAAGATTTTGTTAAATTTATCTCCAAAGAAAGGGACAGCATTATCAATGTTCCCCATTCGCTGCAAACAATTACAAAATGCACCGAGTTAGAAAAGGATTAATAGGAAGAAAGAAATGCATGAAACCATGATAAAGTAATTACCTGTTCAAATATAGTTGTTTTATCAGATCCTAGGCGAATTAGATTGAGAAAGTTGTATGATACAGGGGGAGCATAACGAGCAATCATACTGGGAACGAGATAGAAAATAAATTATATTTGATAGATAGCATGGGCAATTTGGGAAACAGTGCACAAATATTACTTACGAGCATATCATAAGCAGGTTAACTGGGCTGGTCTGCCTGGGTGTCAATGAGTAAAACACCAGCCTTCCAATTTTGAACAGGGAGAAGTATGTGCAAATGCACATGTACATGAGTGGAACAAAAGCAAAAGCCTAAGCAAGAAATTGAAGATATGTGATTCAGAAAGCAGCTTGTTTTCATTAATATAATAATACTCAATAAGGAAAAGAAACATCACACGTGGAACTCCATGAGTAGTTAAGTTTAACTTGTAAGCACTGAAAGTATAAAAATGTTTTACAGAGACGTCCAGTCAATTTTCACCATTTGGATATGTTAAAAATATTTTTCAAAATGCTTACACAAATATCTAAATGTTAAGATGTGATTGGATGTATGTGTATAACTATTTTATACTGTTAGTGCATACAAATTATATCCGAGTAATTTGCATGCATAACCCAACTCCAAAAGTGAACCTTAGCCAAAAGGATGCAAGTTTATTTTAGCTAAGAAAAAATAGGCAGAGAACCAGTTATATTTAAAACAAAATAAAATAAAGCACGGGTGCAATTGACCGGTTAATATGCACCCCAAAGAGGCCCAATTACTCCATCACTAGGAAGTTTATGAGACGTGTCAAACGCCAATTTTTAAATATTGTAAGATTTTCGATATTCTAGAATGAAATCTCCATGACTTCATCACAAACTTTTGTTCGACAAGGTAAGATACGTGTGTCTGTGTGTGTGTGTCAGTGTGTTTGTATATACATTTATATTGGTCTACCTGCACAAGCATCTCCTGTGATCCAACAGATTTTATGAGAATTGAGAAAAGAGATAGATCGACACTAGGTAGAAGAGTTGCCTCTGCTAGAAGAATTGCAACAGACATGATACCAAGTATAATGGCCAACCCTTTTTCAACTTGTATTCTCAAAATGCATCGCCAGAAAAATTCTGCAAAGAACCACCATTTATTCAGAAACCTAAATCAAATCTTCTTTATACTATGTTGGGTGTGTGCGTGTGTGGATGCAAACACGGATGTAACATTTGCATTATTTCATCAAGACATGTTTGTTGAGAGTCCCTCCAGAATGCCCACATTTCTCAAATACATGGGGGGTTTGAGGGATAGGTGCAAGCAAGCATGTTGATCTCCAAGAACAATGGAGTGAGAGAGTTATCGCAATTCTCTTCAAGAGAGTTTCACTCTAAATTTCCATCCTGCTTGGTAAAATATATCATAAAGCATTCTAGCTGGGGAAGACCGAGAGTAATATTTGATTTGTCAAGAGAACCATCGTAAATTGTACTTCATAATGAAGAATTAAGTTTGGGTTATAAGATATTGTGATTTTTCCATTTCAAATTGTGAGGGTATGTTGTGTCATCTTTACTCTTTATTTTTCTTGTTGCCTATCTGAATCACACAGGGAGGGGAATCTGTCCAAGCAGTTATAACAAGGTTAAATACTTAACTCCACATTCTTCTTATATATTATAGATGAAATAATACAAACATTGATTGTGGCATGAAATCAAACTGAGAAAGTTAAAACATATGACATGACATAAGAAAAATAAAATTTAAGAAACTTCAAAAACAAACAGCATGAAAAATATGAACAGAATACATGGACTTTCACACAAGGTTTGTTAGAATTAGATTCAAAGTTCTTGTTACCTTCAAAACCTAGGAAACCTCCATTGACATATTCAATGTTTCAAAATGACTGTGCCAATATACGTAATTGTACCGAATACACTAATTCATTTTGTGCATATACAATTATGTCCTGTAAGTACAATAATTAAACTTTTGTTACCATATTCATGTTATAGACGGTTGTAAATCGTAATAGCTGACAATTGGCTCCGTAATTAGTCCTTCTAGTACTCAATGCACTCATAGTATACAATAATAAGATCTTTGCCCACTACATGAATCAAACGACGTCATAATATCTGTGAAGCACGGATACTTCAAAAACGCTGCCGAATCGTATCCGTACGCCGATACGCTCCGATACGGCGCTGATATGTATCGAAAGAGTATCCGAAATTATTTATTTAAAAAAATTCCGATACGGCAGCGATACGCCTCCGATACAGCGGGATACGTGATAGAAACCAACTGATATAGAATAAGATATAGGGAAACTCCCTTTTAAAACTGAATGATATTGCAGGACTTCGAGGGTCTGCACCTACCAAATGCCAAATTGGCCCTTTTCCTATCCAATTCCACGATGATCAACTCCCCAATGTCTTCCCCTATTTATTCTAGGCCTAAACACTCTGAATTAATATTATAATAATTCTAATAATTACCCACTAACTCATAATAATTTAATAATAGTTACGAAATTGAAGAGTCTAACAATACTCTCCCCTTAAAGATTCACCTTGTCCTCAAGGTGAAAGGAATACACAATAGAAAAAATGTATCCTCCTGGATCCCATAACTTAAAACATGAAGGTTGAGTTGTACATGAAATAAGAAATTTTCCCCCAGGATCAAACTTGCTTGCTAATGGCAGTCCTCTCGTGACCACTTGTTGTGGCCACAGTGGCACCGGTAGTGGAAATTTCTTGTTCCTAGACTTTATCTTAGGAAATTTCTTGTTAGACTTTGCATGTGATGAAATAGCCAACTCTCTGTCACTTCTCTAGACCTTTGCTTCACTAGCTGCCATCAATGAATCTGTATTTTTCACTTCGTCGCTCTCGCAATCAGATTTGATATCTACTTTACAAACTTCTTTTTCACTGTATAGTTGGATTTGTGAGTCATCAACTTTACCACCAATCTTTTCTTCAGTTGGTAATGCTATTGGTTCTTGAATTTCACTGCTGCCTTGGATTTCCTGTGTTTCGATTTCAGACTCCAGTAGACAATCCCAAACTTCTGGTTGGAATTTCTTGAGAATGGCCTTTACAAAATTCCACCAACAAGTATTTTGATGATTCTCCTTCCAAGAAATCCACCAATCAAGAGCATCTCCTCTCAATGCAAATGCAACAGCCCACTCAAGCTTCATCTCTTCACTCATTCTTCTTAACCCAAAATATTGCTCAGCCTGGATCAGCCACCAATAGGCCTCCCTTCCATCAAATCTTGGAATCAAATCTGCAGCCATATTCATACCAAAATTTCCAGCACACCGGCAAAATCTTTTTGGATCAGAACGGCTCTGATACCAGTAGATAGAAACCAACTGATATAGAATAAGATATAGGGAAACTCCCTTTTAAAACTGAATGATATTGCAGAACTTCGAGGGTCTGCACCTCCCAAATGCCAAAATGGCCCTTCTCCTATCCAATTCCACGATGATCAACTCCCCAATGTCTTCCCCTATTTATTCTAGGCCTAAACACTCTGAATTAATATTATAATAATTCTAATAATTACCCACTAACTCATAATAATTTAATAACAGTTACGAAATTGAAGAGTCTAACAATCAGCCACGCCACTCTGGGACTTTTTTTTTGTAAGTAGAGTCTGGCATGATTTACTATCCGAAGTTATAGGAACAGGTATGTCCACAGAGATTCTTATAATTACCTAAAGTGTCAAATAAAGACCCTAAGTTGCCAGTCCGAACAGGTCTGATGCTTGACATATATTTCCTGAAATAATAACATTAAAAAATTGCATAAAGTTAGCTGGAATAGCTTTTAAATACTATTGAAGCACATTGAAATGCGGCAAAAAACCCAATTAAAGAAATAGAAGCAAACCATCCAATTATATGGCGGCGTTCATAACTCTTAGTCGTGTCTTCCAATTCAAGGGCTTCTAGTACATAAGTCATGTACTCACTGCAAAAGCAACGATATGAGGAAAATACCAAGAGACCTAGATCTAAGGGTGTGAAACAATTAAGAGCTACAACCAAATACCCACGCTTGAAACAATTAAGAGCTACAACCAAAAACCCATTGCTACCAAGAAAAAGTATTTAACAATTAAGAGATACTTTTTCTATTGCCCTAAGCCCTAATGAATACTCCCTCCATTCCTTTTTAATTGTTATTTTTTTTACTTTTTACACATACCAAGAAAACTAATCATTGTTGTTATTTTTTACACAATAATTATCTTTTTGCCTATAATACCCTCAACTTTTTATTATTTTATTTGATTTTTTCTCTCTCTACACTAAATGACAAGGGATAATTTTGTCAAAATAGAATTCATTACTACTTCGAACTTTGGAGTGACATTTAAAAAGGAACAAATTTTTCTTTCAAAAGTGACAATTAAAAAGGATCGGAGGGAATAAATATTAGGTGTTGAAATTAACCTGAACAAAAAATAAATGAATATGGCTCTAGGAGGTACTGTTACTCCTGGGAAGAATATAACAGCTGAATTACCATTTACAGCTGCTATAAATAATTCAAAAACAATTTTTCAAATAACTAACTTTAAGGATGGTTAGTTATTTGCTTACCTTTTATATCTGTAGTACTCCTCAATAGCCCCCCGAAGATGACGTCTTAATGTTGCCATTGACTTCTCATCAGTATCATAATCCATATCCCTTCCCCCTAATCGGCCACCTTGTGGCGTGAAGGATGGATCTTCCCTAAACTGGAAAACTGAATATTATCCTAACAATGAACCATGTTCTGTAATCAGAATCTTTAAGCAAAGAATGTAAGATTTATACCATTTGAGTTAGCATGTCATCAATTACATCCATGTAACGTCTTAGAGGATCGCGCCTAGACATCTGATTCGAAGTGGCTCGAGCAACCTACAGAAATAAGTCATCTTAGAACTTCAAGTTTTTGCTTATTGCAGCAAGGGGGCATGTTTTAGAAAATAAAAAATAATTAAATAAATAAAACAGGATTAGTCTAAAGTTTAACTAAACTGTGTTGATTCATTCCTATCTTGCATCACCCCCCCTACCGACATCGGTAATAGTAATTTATTAAGCTATTTAGTGTCTCCTATCATTTGGGCTTAGTGTGTCATATTAAGTGAGGAATGCCATTGGTGATAGTCTAGCTTCGGAACAGATTGGTGGGATCTTAAATTAGACATAAAGTAGGCTAGGTTAAACAATGTTTTGCTTAATTTGATTTGACTTGTTCTAAAAATTATCAAACTTGGCATGCAACTTGTTATAGGATTTTTTTAGGCATGACCTGGTTTATTAGCCTATTTAAAGTTCCGTTTCATATTAAGGATTTGAAATATGCCATTTGGCCTATCTCAAAAATAGGCTAACCAGTCATAAAGTAGGCTAGGCTAAACAATGTTATGAAAACTAAGCCCACTACACTACTCAAGAGCATGGGACATAAGGGTGGAACTAGGCAAGATTGAGTTGAATTCCTTCAAACTGAGTATAAGCTTGCTTGCATGAGATTCGCAAATTTTTCAGACACGGATAGGGAAAACATAAAACATAAATTGTATGAATAACATGCACAAACCACTTACAACAACAGCATTTGAGAGTTCTTGATGAGCATCATCAAGTTCAACAGCCATTTTAGCAATTTTGTGGGAAAGAACTTTTTGGCGGGTGGTCCAGTCAGCATTTCTCCAAACATTCTTAGGAATTTCACTCAAACCGAAGCCAAGAAGAAATGCACCGGTAACTAGTCCGAAAGTATTTGAGCAAGCCATGGCAAATCCCAAAATACTTCCACTCCTGCTTATAAATGAATCAACTAAGTAAAGTCATGTTAAAACAACAGGGGGGCTTCACTTGAATCCAAAACACACACACATATGCACGTGTAGGAATGCAAAAAGGTTTATTGCATGTTAAGTTGACAATCATGACCATCGTGTCAAAAAATATAAACTAACTGAAACAAGGTAAGCAAGCATCTATGCATCCATGACAGTAATAAAACATGCAAGCTTCTAATTAACACTGAAAATCTGAGTTATATGCATTTTATAGCTTTTCAAAATGTGCACATGGCTTTTTATTAATGTTGAAAACTGAAACACTTATTACAAAAACTATTAGGAAAATACGCAAATTTCCTTATTGTCAGATTTGTGGAAGGACAAAATAATGCAGAAGCACACTAAAATTAATAAAAAGTGAAATACACATAGTGTTTAATAACAATCACTCTCTCACAAAATCCACAACTCAGTTACTCTCTAAATATTTCTCACAAAATCCCCACACTGAATTTTCTTCTTTGTTGGATAAAACTTGCTAGTTGTTATTACACTTATTGTGATTTTTGCACTTGTTGTAAAAAACTAAGGAAGCACGGCTTTTATAGCCAACTAGAAGTAAAAGATAATTGGTTCTACTTTAATCACTCCTTACAGATTTCGTAACCACATTTCTATTTACTTTTTTTTCTTCTTTTGTTTCCCTTCTTTGACCAACAATCTCCCACTTGAAGAATGATTTCAATCTATCTTCACCCCTCAATCAATGCAGCCGCCTTCTTTGTATTTTTATTCTAGATGGTCAATTGAAGCTGAACACAACTTCAGTTTATCAATGGTCACCACATTTGTTAACATGTCTTGATGGGTTCTTGCTTTCTGCAATTTTCCTCAGGGTTAGCACCCCATCTTCAAGCAAGGGGACCTGATGAAGTGATAACGTATATCAATGTGTTTTGTTCTAGAGTGAAATGTTGAATTTTTATCAGATGTATTACCCTTTGACTGTCACTATGCAAAGCATTCTTCTCCATGATGAATCTCAACTCTGTTAACAATCCTTGAAGCCATAACAACTCCTTGTTGGCTTCTATTACTGCTACATACTCAGCTTCTGTAGTGGATAAAGCAACAATCTTTTGTATCTGTGGCTTCCAACTTACAGCTATAGTACCAACAATAAAAATGTAACTGATGGTACTTCTTCGGTGATCAACTTCACATCCAAAGTCTGCATCTACGTAGTCTTGTCTTTTTAAGACTCTTTTTCCAAAGTAGAGACACTTCTCTGTGGTTCCTCGTAGATATCTCAAAATCTACTTGACTCCATCTCAACGATCATTTTTTGGATGGCCAAAATCTGGCCTAATACAAATCATTGCGTATAACAAACTTCTTATGGCTAAAGCATATGGAATTTTGACATGAAGGATTTGGGTCTAGCAAAATAGATTCTTGGAATGCAAATCACGAGAGGTAGGTAAAGAGGAATCTTGCAATTATCTCAGGCAGAGTACATCATCCGTGTTTTGCAAAGACTCACCATTGAAAATGTCAAGCCGTCGGTTAGCACACTATTGGTCAGTCATTTTCTCCTATCCAATGATAAGTAAGAGAGAGAATTCATGGCTAAGATTCCATTTGCTTCAGCCATAGGAAGTTTGATGTACACATTGGTTTGTACTAGGCCAAACATTAGTCATGCAGTGGGAGTTGTAAGCAGGTTTATGGTAAATCCAAGAAAAGCTCATTGGGAAGCAGTCAAGTGGATTTTAAGGTATCTACGAGGAACCACAAAGAAGTGTTTCTACTTTGGAAAAGAAGAGTTAAAATTACAAGGCTACGTAGATGTGAACTTTGGAGGTGAAGTTGATCATCGAAGAAGTACCACTGGCTACATTTTTATTGTTGGTACTATATTCATCAGTTGGATGTCGCGGATACAGAAGATTGTTGTTTTATCCACTATTGAAGTTAAGTTTTTAGCAATAACAGAAGCCAGTAAGGAGTTGGTATGACTTCAATGATTATTACCAGAGTTGAGATTCATCTTAGAGAATAGTGTTTTGCACAGTGACAGTCAGAGTGCAACACATCTGGTAAAGAACTCAACATTCTACTCTAAGATAAAACACATTGATATATGTTATCACTTCGTCAGGTCATTGCTTGAAGATGAGGTGCTAACATTGAGAAAGATTGCAGAAGCAAGAACCCATCAAACATGTTAGCAAAAGTGGTAACCATTGATAAACTGAAGTTGTGTTCAACTTCAGTTGGCCTGCTAGAATAACAAACTGAGAAAGATTGTTGTATGATCAAGGTGTGAAGACCGATTAAAATTAGTCTTCAAGTGGGAGATTGTTGGTCAAAGAAGGGAAACAGGGAGAAACAAAAAAAAATAGTAAATAGAAAGGTGATTAAAATAAAATCATTTATCTTTTATTTCTAGTTGACTATAAAAGCCGTGTTTCCTTAGTTTTTAAGGACAAGTGCAAAAATCATAATAAGTAAAAAGTGCAACCATTAAGTTTCATCCAACGAACAAAGATAAGAAAATTTCAGAGGGATTTTTGTGAAAAATATTTAGAGGGAAATATTTCTTTGGGTATAACTGGGTTGTGGGTTTTTTTTTGTAAGAGAGTGGTTGTTATTAAATACTCTTGTATATTTCACTTTACATTAATTTTCGTGTGCTTCCATATTATTTTTTCTCTTTCTTTTCTCTTCCACAAAATCGAACTATGAGAAAATTTTGCGTAATTACAAAAAAAGTGTCTTGGAAAGACATCAAATCGAGTTTCCTTGAAATGTCCTTACAAACACTATGCAATGATAGCATCCAGGAGTAAACGCAAACGCATCAAAAAACCTATAGATGTTGGATAAAATATGGCTTGCAAATGAACAGCTTTAACAGATAAAAAATTGCACTGCCGATGCCCCATAAAATCTAGTTCATTTAATTCACAAACAAACAAAAAAATGAAAAGAGGTCTTTTAGGAAACAAATTTCTGGAATATTTCATTCATGTCAAAGTCTAAACACCGTTAAAAAAAGTACCTACCCTTATATAATTATAAATATTCAACAAAAAATTAGAATAGTTGCTACGTGTGGGACAGAAAACTAATTAGATAAGAACAAAGGTTAAGAAGACTAGAACTAACCAGTGCCTCTGCATCATAATGAGAAGAATAAGTCCAATAAGGCCAATGGATCCCAAAATTAGATAAAAGACCAAGTTAACATGTATGCTAGTCTTCAATCTTTCTGATACAGTGAAGTCACCGGCATCTTCAAAACCCTGAATAAGGGGCACGACAGCCCTGCTTAGGATAGCATAATTTAATACATGAGCAAATTTGCACTTCTGATCTGTAAATTCCATTTATATCCGTCCTTGGAATACTTGGTAAGAATGTATTATCTATCTTACACACGAATATGAGAAGAAGGCAAGTAACAACAAAACAAATAAGCTAATAGCATAATAGCTCGAGCACAACAAAATCTTCTAAGATTTACATCTATCCATAGTAAATAATGTTTTGTAATTTCTTATGATTTACAGCATATGGCTTATGCCTCAAAATCTAATTATGTGTCATATATTAACTAGAAGTTGAATATTAAAGCTATCAAATTAGGGTGTCAAGTAGAGAAGTGTAATAAAAAAACCAAAATTACGCCATAAACATAGAAACTTCTACAAGAAGCATACATACCAAGTAAGTAAAAACGTGCTCCAATACGACCAACTCCAAAAGAAAGAAATGCCTCCATTATCCGAAAGGGAAGATATTGTCTGCATGTGTTAAAGAATGAAATTGTTTCACATACAAATTCAAAAACCTCTGATGCTTAAGGAAAAGAAAGGGAATAGTAATAGTACCAGCCAGATGTCAGCGGGGACGAGGATGATGATAGAGAGGGAAACGAACCAGGTGTATCCGACGGTGAAGAGGACGTAGAGAGGTACGGAAGGTCCGGCGAAGTACCGGAGCGTCAATAGCACCATTCCCATTGTGAGGGGAAGAGATATCAGGTAAAACTCCCACATCTTCGATTGATCGGTTTCGAGCGATGACAGTGGCAGTGACTTTCAGGCGAAGTATACTATTTTACTATCAAGTTTGTTTCAACTGCACCCTCATCGTCACTCAACCCCTCTTGCGTGTTTGGGCTTTACGCACGCCTTCTACGGCCCATTTGACATCCTTATAATACCTTTATTTTTAACCCTCGCATACCTCTTTTGTATGTTTTTATAAGTAAAATAAAAAATACCTCTAAATTTTTTATAAAATAATGTGTAGATTTAACTAACGTGTTTTTTTCTTTTTGAAAAAAAAAATCGAAAACTAAAAAGAAAAGATTACACATAGTAATCAACTTAGGAGTAGAGATACTAATATAATCAGCTAACAAAAGAAAAGAAATATGAGTAGGAACTCGCTCATAAAATATCAAATTATGACCAAGATCACACCCTATGTTGGCAAGTGCATCTGCACAAGTATTATACTCATGGTAAATATGACAAACTCGCACCTCTCAAACCAGTTTGGAGAATTGTTGAATTTCTTATATCAATTGCATTCTATTATACTATGTCGAGAATCTAAAATATTTTGAACAACCACTTTAGAATCTATATGAATCTCAATAGCTCGAAACCCAAGCTCTTTTGCTAATCTTAATTCTTCTAGCACACCCAAAAGTTTAACAATATGAAGTTTTGTTCTTATGTAGATAGATGTTAGACACGATGTCTGGGACAACGTATTCAACTAGTTTATAACATATGACAGATTCTTCTCAGGACAAATGATATACATGATTGTTGTACCTTTCGTTTGGGCATTTTGGCCTCCAGCGTGTACCTTTCGTTTGGGCACATGAATCCTTCAGCACAAGGTTTTGGTCAAACCTTTCGTTTGGACATTTTGGCCTCTTGCATGGACCTTTCGTTTGGCCACATGTGACCCCTGGAAAACAAACCTTCAATTGGACAGAAGCAACCTACTGTTTCCAGTGATTTCTGGTAAACAACCGCTAGTCTTCCAAACTATCGAATAATCTTTCTTACTGTTATTCAATCCCTCTGGTAACTCACAGGATCGACTATATTGATCCTAGGACTCCTTGGATATTAAGGTTACTCTCACAATTAAACAGATGTTCATGGTTGATATTGTATAAGTGTTTGGCTTGTTTCGATCTCTCTCTCTAAGAGTCTAAAGATGTAATCAAAATGTGTGTGAAAACTAAGTTATACGAATAAATGCTAATTGTAATGCTAATTGTAAAGACATATAAAACTGCATGAAAATGAAGTAAATGGTTTCGACTTACAAAACGGTTAACATAAAGGATTTCTGGAACGTAAAAGTTTGAAATGTGAAGAAAGCGTTTAATGCAAGAAATCTGTAAATGATTTTAAGTAAACATATGCGTTCGAAGGATAAGACTTGAAGGTAAAGGTATGGAAAATGTGACAGTTTTCTGAAATATAAAGTGCTTGAAACATAAAGAAAACATTAAAATGTAAAACTTTGAAGAAGAGATTTCGAAGTGAAAAGACTGTAAATAAGAAAACTTGTAAATGTTGTTTGACAAAAAGAATAAAGGAAAGTACTAGAAATGGTAAAAGGTTTTCATTAAATCAGAAATACATGGTGCTATCATACATACATTTCTCTTGCATTCGTTTCCCTTGCCATGTGGTAGTTTGAATGTTACTGAGTATTTTGTATAATAGATATGACACACGAAATCCTAATACTAAGACTTCTATTTATACTAATTCGACCATAACGGTCTTGCTATAGGATTATGCCACGTTTCGAACATGCAGGACAATGCTTCTTTCATCTTTCCACGTGTCCCCAAATGCTCCAACACATAACTTTCAAACTTTGAAAGTCCCGCTTCCATTTGAATTTTAAATGCTTTGGTGTTTCTCCGTTTCGAATGCTCTTCCCAGACACAGCCTCGCTGTTGTTTCGAGACTCCTTTAGATATGTTCCCATAATTGCCGCTCGAAGCTCCAAGCTTTGACACACTTATTCGAAACACTGCTTCTGCAACTTCGAAATATGACGTTTAATTCCATTTCTATCAAAACGTTTAACTCATTTGGCTTCTAAATAACATTATCAAAATCTTCAGCCAACAAATTGCCCCTTTAAAATATGTATTTCGATTCCTCTGAGAAATACCTATTTTAAACATCTACACAAGATTTTGATAGGACTTTCGAATCATCGTAACATTTAATGCATTTGACTCCAGTCACATCAATCATGGCACCTTTTGGATTCCTTAACCTCCCGGAGTCACTTCACAGCGTGGTGCAGTTATAAGTAATGATTATCTCTAAATCACGCATATTACCTATGTTAACTTCACGCCACCTCTTCATCACACCAACCCATGATCTCCACGTATCACACCTCTATTCGGTGGATGCTTAAACTTCCCATTATAAAACATCAACTTAATCTCCTTCTTTTCTTTTCACACTCTAAATCTTTCACACTCTGAATCTTTTACCCTCCTTCTCTCACAAAACAATCTAAGCTTTCAACATCTTTCAAAATGTCTTCTTCTACTTCATCCAAACTCAAGAAAGTCTCCAAGAAGAAAGGAAAAACTACCGGAGCTACCATGGAAAGTAAAATCATCACCATCCAAGGCCAATCTGCTCTTGCCCCTCAGATGATTTCCAAAGAAAAAGAAATGCTGTATGCGTCACAGGTACTCATTCCTACCCACGTTGCTGGTAAGAGGTTAGCCTTAAATGGCCCTCTTACGGTTTTTGAAATATTAAAGGACACCAGGACAATTTTTCCCGTCTGTTATAGCTTCAAACCCTTATTTAACAAAATGGACGCCCCTAAGGCATTAGAATCTCCTAGTTCAAATACCATAGAAACCCCAACTGTTCCTCCCAAGGACCCCTTTGTTTTGGATTATGTAAAAAGCAATTTTAAGCCATTTCGATCTTGCCCTACTTCTGATATTGCTTACCAAAATTGGTTCACGAAAGTAGAAGCCAAGAAATCCCAGCAATGGGAAGAATTAGGCATTTATAACCTGATTAAGTTATCGAAACCTGGTTTCACCTACAGCCACCCTCTGCTATTCGCGTCCCTTTATTTCTGGGATAGTACCTACAACACTTTCCATCTCCCAGGTGGAATGATCACCCCAACCTTCTTCGATATAGCGACCATTACTGGGCTGTCGCCAGTGGGAGAAACTTATGTACCCGATAACGAAGAACACTCAAGCATAATTGACTTCGAAGTCAAGCTAGCCAGTTTTTCCAAATTTATCAGTCATTATCATGCTGAAGGGGACAATGTGTCTGACGTAGAGCACATTGCTTTCTTAACCCTGTGGCTGTCAAGATACGTTTTCTGCAGTAGATCCCTACAGGTAGCTAGTAGGTTCATTCCTCTAGCTAGGGATTTACATGAAAATCGAAAAGTGTGCCTAAGTGAACTACTCTTAGTTGACCTCTATGAAAGCCTGAGGTCAGCTGTTTCGAGCCTCAAATCCCACACCTCCAAAAACATTTTATTGGCTGGCCCATTTTGGTTACTCCAACTATGGCTAAATGCCATGTTCGAACCCTCCTTATCAACCGCCAATACCATTGATGAGCAAGATTCTGAGATAAGTGATAGGATAGTCGAAGGCACTAGGCTTCGAAGATTAACTCCTAATGATGACAAAGATGACTTCAAAGTTCAATTCTCGAAGTACATCATGATATTCTCCAAAAGGCACAAGTTCGAAGAGAGCATGGCGCCTTTTGCTTCGAGGGCTCATGGACCTTCTTGGTTTACCATGGCTCTCTCATAAGCCATCAAGAGCAAGGAGATTCAGGATGTATGGAGAGCCTTCTTGCTGCCTAGACTCATTTCTTCAAGGATAACCCCAGCCAAGAACCAAATTTTTCTCTTTGCCTACCAACCAAACTTCGTTTCGAGGCAGTTTGGCTTATGCCAACTGATTCCTGAACCTTTGTTCCAAACTGAGAGCGCCATCACTTCTGGACGAACTTTCAAGGCAAGGGAAGCCAAAATACAGCAAGAACAATATCAAGGCTTTGCCCAATTTGAGCTGATAGCCTTCGAACCTACCCATCTCGCGGCTAAAGGATTTCTGGAGTGGTGGATTAAGTTTTATCAAACTTATATGTTCGATACACTTACAATTCGACAGAAACTAATTGATGCCTTCGATGTGCAGGTACCAGCAAAGAAAGGTATGTTTACTCATGCCAAAGAGATTAAAGCTTTTCAAAATTATTTTGAAACTACTTACGACCCCACGCGCTTGGACTCCACTGTGCATCAAGCAGCTGAGACCTTGAAGGAAAAATTTAAACAAAAAGTTTCTAAGTTAAAACTTCCTTCAGGGCTGTCACCTGAGGATAGGTATAGGTTGGCATTCGAAATGCATCCACCTAAATTTCCCAGATTACCTACCTCAGAATTGGCTCTGGCTTGGTTTCCCCCATATCCATGGTGGTTTACTTGCAAATAGGTGTTCAAATATCTTCAAAGGAAACCAAAGCCATCTGAGACTGCGACATGGGCTCGATACTGGCTTCATGATTTCCCAGGACACCTTCGATACGACCTTTCTGCCATGTCAATTAAATCTGATCAAGGCACAGGTGCGAATGCTTGGGAAAATCCCAAATGTCTTTTATTTTCCATATCTTTAACCTTTGCTTTAATTGTTTCGATTTTCAGCTATCAGGATAAAGACAGCTGCCTCGAAGTCGAAGGAAGGGAGTGCCTCTCAAGCCTCCATCGAAACTACTGACAAAGTGACTCCACCCGAAACAACTACTACTGCTGCAACTACAACAACAACAATAACGCCAACAACAACAAGTGTTCCAATTCCAACGGTAATCACTTAGCCTTGATGTTTCGAATTCACTCAAGCTTTATGGTTTACATCTAACTTTTCGTTAAAATTCTTTCAGACCAACAAGCTTCCTCCTACTACTCCCAAGAAGCGGAAATCAAGCACCAC